CGTGGAGGTTGCTATGTAAAGTGACCATTCACTAATCCCATTCATTCAAACGCCACCGACGAAGCAGCGGGAGCAATTCAGGGTTAAGGGTCTTGCCTAGGGACACATTGGACAGCTTCAGGAGCTGGTGATCGAACCCTCGATCTTCCGGTTGAGAGACGACGACTCTAATAATTGAGCCACAGCTGCCCCATTGTTTTGTAAGAGATGATGAGGGTTCTTTTATAAGGACAAAGCTCTTGAGGAGAGAAGCAAAAAGATTTAGAGCTCCCCCTGCTGGCTGGCTGCAGTTTAGGTCATAAGCTCCGCCTCCTTTATTTTTACAGATGGGACATAGGTCAAACTCTAAAACAGCATACGTCAAATTATTTTCTCAAACATTGCTTCGTTGTGATAGTTATTATCTCCCTGATTTGTCTTCAGGTCATTTTCCACTTAAAGGCTTTATATGTGATTTTTTGATCCAGCAGATGTCGCCCTTGAGCACCAGCATGAAACCAAAACAACTGTGCATTATTGTATTAGCATGCTAATGCTAGCAATCTTTATTATGCTCGTATCTTCACACTGCATGTAAATTTACCTGAAATGAGCGTGATCTAGAAACACAGTTAAGCAGTGAGTACAGTATGTTATTCTTCTTTTCTCTAGTCCCTCAATTAAACAACTTTTATACACGAGGGGAGGAGTCAGCCGGCCGTCCTGACGATGTAAACAAACTGAAAATAGGACTCTGAAAACTCTGAAAGCATCACAGACAGTGGGACTCGGGTGTTACACCCATTGTAGACAGTCATGACTCACAGAGTTATTTTCAGAGGATATACTTGATTTCTATTAAATTTAAGTGTGAAAAATCACATATAAAGTCTTTAAAATGTGTTATTTGGTGCTATAATAGGGAGTATAACCCCATGATTGACAGCTCTGATGACAAATGAGGCAGTGCTGTGTGGACCGGACTATCAGAGTAGAGGACTGGTGATAGGAAACAAGAGTCATTCAACATTCCATAACCCTGTGAGTGTTGCTTTAATCAAGTATCTGTTCTCCTGTTGACTGGACCCACCTGAGGGACCTTTGACCTTTTCTGAGGAAGTGAAATGTGTGTTTTGGTTAGAGGAAGGGATGGGATGTCAAAACCACAGCAGGGTCTCTCAAATTGCATCACCAGTGCAAATGCCATTACTTATCATGGGGTTTTTTTTTGGCTTCATTTGTACAACAGGATGGTGCAACGTCGACTCTTATACAGTCATTGTTTTTAACCCTTAAGAGTAAATAAAAATAGAACAGAGGTAAAGACATGAGCTATTTTAGACTTTTTCAGATGATTTAAGGACCCAAAACAAACAAACTCTTATAAAAATGTGAACTCAATTTGATAGAAGCCTTTTTGGCGGCCTTCTCAATATTACTACCTTCATCACAGTATAAACCCTAAACAGCTGCAGCAGTGCAAACAAACACCAGTACCCCGTTGACATAATGCTGTTCTCATATGGAATTAAGATAGAAACCAACACGGAGGCTATTAGCAGGTCTCTGAGCTGTGCTGGGTTTCGGCGTGGTCTTACAGGCAGCTATATATACCCTGAAATGTGAGCAGATAAGAGACTGCTGATGTCTGTGAGGGCCACACTGACGCCTCTGCCCTCCCTTTCAACCGGCTGCCAAGCTGTTTCGTACTAAAGTGAGACTGGCTTATTCTGACCAGTAGCCAGCCTTCCCTAGCTACAGGTTGGACAGAATGCAACACAGCCGAGGTAACTGTGAGTCAGTACAACGAAAAAAGAACAAAAGGGAGCTAGAGGCAATGAACCAAAGGAATTCAAAGAGCTGGCAAAGTGTTTTTTTCACCACAGGTCTCCAAGATTGGAAACGACAGAAGAGGAACAGCTAATTAGCGTTTATCATTACCTCCATCTGTTGGTGACTCATAGGGGAGGCCATAAAGGCCACAGTGACCTCATGGAGGAAAAGAGCCTGCAGTGATTGATGCTGTCGCCTCTGCAGCTAGCGGGCATAATCCTTTATTCATTGAACCAATCATTTGGTCAATTAGGTACCATCATTATTTGAAACAGCTATCCATCTCTGACATACCCAAACAGTGACGCAGAGAAATTCATCAGATACACGGGGGGTGGCGTATAGCTGGGGTTGTAACAAATACTTTGATACTAGTAAAAATCAAAAAATATCAAAACCTTTTTGATACCACGGCAACAAAACTAGAAAGGGGCCCAACATTGGGTGATTTCTTGGTTTCAATCACCTAATATTGCAAACAAACTCCTGCACACTGTCTAAATTGCACAAATGCAATGGCAATGCGTGGGAACCAAAATGTTCTTAATGTATTTGTTCAATTTAGAAAATGCTCTCTCTTTCTCTCGTGGCAGCTTTGGCTAGAAATATTGAAATGTGAATGATCTGAAGTTTTTCTAATACTTTTCAACACCAGTGATATGTACCGTTTAAAACATGTTGTTTTTAAAAGTATCAAAGTATTGAACATTTTAAAAAGAAGACTGAAAGCAAAAATTGCTATCAACTTTAATTCTTCTTAAATATTTTCTAGCACACAACTATTCAGAACGAGTGTTGGCAGCATTACAGCTCACCTGGGTGTCAGTATTGATCTCACTCTCTTTTGATTGGCGATAACTTTATGCTTTCAATGATATTATCCCTCTGACTCTTTCAGGATGAGCAGCAGTATAACAAACTGATGCTTGATGATTGACATTTTGTAAGTCCTACATCCTTCAGCAAGTCCCTTTATGTTATGAATGATATTTTGACGGAAGCCGTTTTCACCCGCTGTGTTGCCCAAGGTGGGAAGCTCGAGTTAAGTTATAATGCAAGGTTCGGTTAAAGACTGACACAGAGGCTTTTAAATAAAAATACCTCTCACATCACATGGGTGCGTAGGAGAGGGATGAATCCATCAAAATTTCCAAGCAAACTCCTGCACACTGTCTAAAATGTACACAATCATTTGGAACCTCTTTATTTTCACAATCCATTGTCTTATCATTTGCTGAATGATGATTAGCAGAATCCCTACAATTTTCACAACAGGCAAACCTGGATCAAAGCAGGACAACATTATAACAACATTTGAGCTTCCTACCCTTAATCACTAAAGTGATAAAAACTGCAGTTCCAAGAGTGTCCACTTGAGGCAGGCCCAACGTTAAACTGGCTCTTTTGTCAGCAGAAATAAACATGTTTACAGACTGTACAGGGGCAGACGTTTATTTTAAAGCTCATCTGTTTTGATTTAATGAAGGATGGAGTGATTCCTAAATAAGGGATTAAATGATCTGACTGCAAGCGGGCGTGTTGTAGCTGTTTACAAGAAGGCTTCAGCTCCACCTCTTTGTCTGAGGTTGTCTGAAAGTTAGGTTGAGACAACACTTCTAATACGTCCACCAACATTGTTTGGCTTGAAAACTCCCCTTCAGTAACCAATGGGTGATCTCACTGAGACTGAGACACGTTTTATACAGTGTATGGAATCCCACCAAAGGGGTAACAATAAAACATACTGCAACACTGAAAGCAGGACAATCATTTTGCACCTTTAATGACTTCCTGATCAGCTTTATATTCTTTCAGAAATTACAATTTGTTTAAAAACCTTTAAAAACTAGCATCCAAATATGTCACAGTTCCAGTTCATTCGGATAAAACTTGCTAACCAAGAAGCGCTATTGTAATATGATAACTAGAACTATTAACAATATGATTAAAGGCTCATGCTTTTTTCACTAATGGAAGTACTTTTATTTATTTAACCGCCCATATACTCCCACACGTCCTTTACGTTAGGATGGATGTTAAACAAAAGCTTCCACTAGAGGGCGTGATTTGACACGGACATCCACTTCTCCTTCACTGTTGTTCAACTAACATTCAATCGCCATCCTATCCCAGCTGTTCTGTTGTAGTTGTCTGTACCTGTGCCCCGGCGAGCTAACATTTTATGTTCCTAACCAACTTACAAAATCTTTGCTCAAAAAGTTCAAACATTTTCAAAAATATTCTTCTTCGTTGTGTCTGATCTGGCTGCACTGCTCGACATTGCCCCTACGATTTCCGGTGGTACTGCAACCTTTGGTCGATATCCGTAAGCTTCCAGAAAATGTGCAGAAATGAAGATGTAATGAAGGCAGAGTACAGGCAGAAGGCTCCGTCTGTATGCGTATCAGACGTATAGCAGCAATGAGCCTTTAAAAGGGGACCGTGAGTCAAAGAATAAATAACCTTATATAAAGTAAATCATGAAATCACTGGGTGCTCTGCTGGTCACACCGTGTGATGACACCAATTTTTAAATCAATCCAAGCAGTGCATTTATTTTCCAGAAGCATTCACATAAGAAAATCGATATCTGTTCAGTGTTTTCTGAATTAACAAGATACTGGTAACTCCAAATCCCGGTACTGGTAACTCCAAATTCTGGTAACTCCAGACGCTCTCATTAAGACCAACGTTTCCAGACTGTTTTAGTTTGTTTTGGGTTTGAAAAGTGGGGAGATACTCGTGTCTTCAGGTAACATAGATGATATTGTTATTAGTTCGTGGATTTTGAGCAGGCAGCTGTGATCTTTGCAGATCAGACACAAACCATACTCTCATCTGTCACAACCAGATGTTGTGCCGTGAAACACAAGCACCTTCTAACTCGTAATTCCAAGATCATTATCTTGTTAGAAAAAACAGATTTGTATTTTCTAATGTCAATGCAATACACTTCCCTTATTATCTGTATTATTTGTTCTGTAAACAATCGTAAAACATAAACACCAACACAAATATATCTGTATAAAAAAAACCAGGCAAAACTCTCCTGATAACTGAAAAAGTCCATACTGTTATTCTGGCCATAAAACAAAATGGCAACAGTCAAAATGCCAAACTCAGGGTTTTAAACAACAGCAGCTACATCCACTACTCGTACACAGTTTGTGGTGAGGTGAGGTAGTTACCTGCCGTGTTTGCAGTGTTGTGTGTCAGTCCCTGCAGACAGTGACGGCTCTGGGGCAGCTCATCCTACTTTTGCTACCCCACAGTGTACACACACACACACAGGCTTTGAGACAATGATCACACCTGTGGAAACACACAGATATGTTACATAAGAAACCATTCAACAAACAAGGACAACACATAGAAAAAACAGCAATATTTAAATCAATGTCTTTGTTGATATAGGGGAGTTCAGTTTGTGATCATTTTAATGTGATCACAGTAAAAACTCAAAGAGATATTTTAGGCCTAAAAATTAAAGATAGCAGAAATGTCCTTGGTCTGTTTTGCGCTGGCTTTTCAACTAATTCTCCACTGAAGTTTAATAATGCCTCCTTCAGCACATATTATCAAATCCGGAAGAAAGTGACCAAACATAAAGCTGGGGAAAGATAAAATGTTGATTGACTCAGTGTTGTACTGCTTCATCGTGTGGCTCTTCCTGCACCTGTTTCAGAGCTCGTCACACTTGTCTACTACTTTACATTTTCAGTACAAAAATGAAATCCTCACACAAACAAACTGAAGATTTGTCCTACCCCAGAGAGTTGTCCGCAGCTCTGCGATTAAAAAACAAATCCAGAACTTTTTGAAGCGCTACCCCCTGTCTTCTCTCATTGTCTCCTTTCGCAACACAGCTGATCTAAGAGCCCTGCTATGTACGTATACGCACTCGACCTACTCGAGGCACGTCCCTGAAGGCAGCAAGAGTGGCAGTTAAGTTGGTTTGGTGAAGCGGCTCGACCCAGGCCAATAGACGGAAAGCAACGGGGGTGCTACTTGGGAGTCTGTGGCCCCAGAGTGTAGGAGGATAGCATGACACAGCCATCCAGAATACCACAGATCAAGTTACAGAGGCGGTAAATATAGCAGGTCACTCAACACTCGGAGGCATTCCAATTTGCTCTTAAAGGACTCGCATTAGGGCTTTTTATAAGCAGAGCTGGGTAAGCATCGAGTCCACCAGCACACTGCTTTAGACAACAGGTCGGCTGCTTTCAGAGAATTTAAAATCTGAAGTGAGATGTACATATTATCAGCACTGGATCATAATTCATCTGCAGGCATCTCCTCCAGTAAAAGAGCCACAGCACAGCAGCGATACTTTACACCACAAGACTGTCATGCTTAGTAGTTTGTAGGCTCTCAGTTGCTCTGAAATTGCAAATATCAGAGTGAAAGTTGCTATCAAGTTTTACACTGACTGCACAAGGAGAGGGATTAAATATCAATACAGCAGTAAATCATCATCCTGAACTGTGTGGAACACTTATCAGGTCACTGGTGCCATTTATATTGATAATTTGATTTAAAAGACTATGGCACTCTGAACAGATTTCCCTGCCAATTTGTCTCACATTGTCACTACTTCTTGACTTCTTGACTGATGAAGGCAACATGAACAGAAGTAAAGCCAGGGGTACCACCGCAGGGTTGTAAAAATGTGGTGGTGGAATGTCATCTCACACTGTTGGAGTGAATTGTTTATGACCCACAACCGAAGCTCATGAATTATGTGCTGCTTTTCTGTCTGATTGTCAAATACGACCTAAGTGCTCACACTGTACCATTAAATCAGGACAGAGCTTTGACAATTGACAACAGTGAAATTTTAATTTAGCTTAAGTCTGTTTGTTGATTTCAGTCACATTTCATTGTTTGCGTTTTGTTTTGTTTTAGTCAAGGTTTAGTCAGTGGAACTCAAGCTTAATTTTAGTTTCACTTGAGTCAGTGTTTTACTATATTCTCCGACACTTTCATTATGCGTCACTGAAACTTGCAGGAAGATATTTCTCCAGGCTGAACAAATTCTAATAATAACTAAGAATACCAAACTTTGTTTAGACATCTTAGCCGAATAAAACTGACACTCATAAATGATTCATAAAAGAAAAGAACACACTCCACACTTTAGCAGATCAATGATGGTTAAAATAGAAAACAACAGCAGGGCGCCAGTGGCTGAGTGTTAGGTGTGTGCGCCCCATTTAGAGTAGGGCTGTGCTACTGCAAGTTTTTAAGATTATATTTTTAAACAAGCTATAGGGTAAGACAATATAGTTTATGTTGCTTTAAATTAATGTTATAGACTTCATTCAGCTGCTTCCAGTTCACTTTTTCTCCTCTCTATTTCTGTCCCTTTTCCCTCTCCTCCTCTCTGAGTGAAACTCCAAAACTGCCTGAATTAAGAAATACAAGGCTGTGTGGGGTTAGTCATGCAGGAAAGGAACATTCATTTTATTTTATTTTAAGAGCCTTTTTATTCAATATTATTATTTTTTATTTAAAAAATGGGCAGTTGCATACAGGTTTCCATTGTGCAGCAGGCTGTTAAAAATATGCCTGTGTGACATTTGGAACGTGGCCCATGTGGATTCGACTAAGAACCAAATTTGTTTTTATTTCTTCACAGAAAAAATATAGGGATATAGAGTATCGCCATTCAGCTAAAAAATATTGAGGTATATGCTATTTGGTCCATATCGCCCCTGCCCTAGTACAGAGTCTGTTGTACTTCAAGTGGGCAACCCCGGTACGAGTCCAACCTTTGGCTTCTTTCCTGCATGTCATTATCAACTCTCTCTCTCTCCTTTTCCTTTTCCGACTCTATCCACTGTCTGATTAAAGGCATGAAAAGCCCCCCAAAAAATGAAGACGCTTCATTTTTTTCCTATTTTTTTTTATTATTTTGCCTGTCCAGCAGAGGATAAATGGCCTCTGTTTTCAACAATGGCATGAAAGACTAGTTTACCTAAAAATGGGACTTTTGCACATTGACCTAACATCTGCTTAATTTAAAGAAGTAGGGATTGTTATGAAATAAAATAGCCACTGAGGAGCAGATGAAATAATTACAACTGGCCTAACAGACTATAGGGTGAGATGACTACAGTTTTGTATTTTGAGCGAACTATTCCTTATTTCTAAGCAGTTTTGGGGCCAGGTAATGCATTATAAAGCAATGCACTATACTCACGTTACTTTTTTTTGTTGTAACACGTTACATGACACATTGACTTTGCAATTCAAGTAATACGTTTTTTTAAGTTTAATTTTCAAATCATCACTTTGAAATATAGCTAGTCCCTGTTACTTTTGTCGAGACAAAAAAAAAAAAAAGAACATCCCGGAGACCTTTGCACTGTTTGAATCATAATGGAATTGGATTGATTGTGTCATTGCGCATGTTTAGCTCAGGCTCAGCAATCACAGGGTGTGGTTATACCCTATGATGACTGAAAAATACATACTCTGTGTGCCCGCATACCCTGCACTATAGGCTAGACCACTGACTAGACCTTAAACATTCAACAACAGCCTATAGGCCCTTGTTTCGACTTTTTTCTTATTTCTAAGTCATATAGGTTTATACCTGGCCTCCCTAACTCTACCTTCACATTTTTGAACTAAAGTCCTAATACATGAGAAAATATACCGTACATGACTGGTACAGCAAGATGAGGTTCGAGGAGGCCTAAACACTAGCAGGGTAAACTGAAGACGTTTCAGTTAAAGACAATGGAAAAAGACAGACGTAGCACTGTAGTGGAGGGTCTGTGAGGGGTACATTACATTACACACTGACACAGCAGCTAGCTGTCAAAACACTGCAGTGTGGTCGCCTGTCAGTGATCCTGAACCGTCTTATTTGGGGCAAGAGGCATGTACCTTAAAGCGTCCTCTGAGATATCGTTGTTCCACCTGTCACTAGAATACGACTATCAGTGATGGCAGTGGGACATGTTTGACCCCTCTCCGTGAAGGGGGCGGAGAGGAGGCGCAAACTTATCGTCCGCTGGACTACACACACGGCATTATCGGAATTATAAGTTAATACATCTAATTTTGGAAACATTCGTTACAATTTCATTGGTTAAACCTCAAAAAACGTCCCGTACTGGTCTGTTTAGGACCAACTTGCTGGCTAATTCAAGCAGTCGGTTTAGTGTAGCCAAGACAACAACGTTGCAACGTTGAAGTGTTCAGTAGTGATGTGTCGTTCGTTAACGATTCGACTCTTAAAGCCGACTCCTTCACAGTGAGCGATGGGGACAAGATTTCCAGCATGGCATAACAGACGGTTGACGTCACTCTCGTCCATTCATATTTACAGTCTATGGTACTCAGGAGAAAATTAATGGTTTATCATTGATAAGTTCATTTTAGTCCCTTTCTCCAGACCTTAAGATACATTCATAAGGAATGCAATGCCCAATCTCCCAACTGCACAACAAACTTACCTTTTCAGGTATGAAGATGCCTAGTTGTATCTTGAATGTATAGTGTACACTGGATTTATGTTATCATTTATAAACCATACTTTTAAGTTTTTCTTTTTTATACAAGTAACATTAAAGGCTAGTTATTATCTCCCTGATTTGTCTTCAAGTCATTTTCCAGTTAAAGGCTTTATATGTGATTTTTTGATCCAGCAGATGTCGCCCTTGAGCACCAGCATGAAACCAAAACAACTTGTGCTGCATTGTTGTGTTAGCATGCTAATGCTAGCGATCTTTATTATGCTTGTACCTTCAAACTGCATGTAAATTTACCTGAAATGAGATCTAGAAACACAGTTAAGGAGGAGTCAGCCGGCTGTCCTGGCGATGTAAACAAACTGAAGATAGGACTCTGAAAACTCTGAAAGCATCACAGACAGTGGGACTCGGGTGTTACACCCATTGTAGACAGTCATGACTCACAGACTTATTTTCAGAGGATATACTTGATTTCAATTATATTTAAGTGTGAAAAATCGCATATAAAGCCTTTAAACCCTTGACCTCTTCCACTTTTTAATTATTAGGGAAACCCGGTAATCATTTTGATCTGGAGCACATCTGCGTGCACCATTAGGGATGGATATTTAATTGAAAACTACTATTCACAAGTCACTGGCAATTACTCAAATAAAATTGTAATATCCTCCAAAGGGGGTTGTGGGATTCTCACAGATGGACCAGGACGTTAATTGAAATGGCCATTAATGGGGTAACAGATTTGGCAAAATGGTGACAGTAATTTTAACTTTAGAAAAAAAAAATCCTATATTTAGTAGTCTAGCCTACATACCAATCGAAGATGAAAATATTGCGGAATCTGACGACATTGAATCCACAGGTCTAAACAAAGAGTTGTTTGAAACAAAGAAGACTATTGCTGACCTGAACCAAAAGATCCGACTCACCGATAAGAGCCGGATTTCCCATCACTACTTGAGATAGTACAAAAAAAGGCTGTTTGGCAGTCATGACGCTCGTATCGACTCCTAAATGTCTCAAATGGTGACAAACAAGCGAAGCAGCGTATTAGCCTGAGTTTCACCATCATCGCTCCTGGAGACCAGGGATGTTACCTATCAGGGTTTTGGGGGTGTGAGGTAGTAGGCAACTGCAGTCACTCACCTCACAGTTGGAGCTCATCCCGATCCAAACGAGCAGCGAAACGCCACCCAGAAGTCTCAGTATCGATGATATGAGCTTCTTATTAAACCGTGGCCTAAGTATCAGAGATAAATCACCGTTAATGTGGTTAGAGTACTTCCAGAAGCAACCAAGTAACAGTGATGATCGCTTTAATGGTGACGTCAGCCCTGTACAGCAGCTCCTGTCTGATTGGTTCATACCTCTTCGTGAGCGTCACCAGCCAGCTCAGTGCGCCGTCCCCTACACGGTCGCCATGGTGATGAACGTAAACATCAGGGATTCATTCATAGAAAATGTTATGTGCAAAATTACGTTTGGGTGGTTTAAGGGTGACCTAGCATTTTTAATTACATTGTTATCTTTCTATATATAACGTTTGAGTATTAATTATATTGCTGTTTTTTGTATCAGCCTAATGTCAGAATTTTTGTTTATTTGAACTTTGGCATGAGCTTTTCTGAGGCAAATGTTCCTTAAAAGGTTAGCCACATACTAGTTCTGCCTAACGCGTGAGAAACAAATGGCAAAGCAATATAGAAACTCACGTTATAAATACAGTAACATTTTAACCTGTAACTCAGACTAAATAATGTTATAGCCTAATCATTTCTGTTATAAAAAAATAAACCGATTACATTGTGATTATCAGCTTTTTTGTGGTGTATAACTCCAATAATTCTTTTTTTGTCAAGGCTAATTAACAACAGGCTAAAGGACAAATTAACATAGGTAAAACACTAAGTAAGGAACATGTTGGCTATCTTGTTGCTCTTTTTTTTTGTTCCTATGGCCCTTATTTCTTTTGCAAGTCCTATTCAATTGTATATTGCTAAAAGCAAATTAAATAATTCATTTTGTAAGTAGAAATATTAATTTAATGAATGCATGTAAGCGATTGTAAAACATTATTTGGTGTGTTTTCTTTATGTAATGAAACTAGGACTGTGAACTCAAAAACTCAACGAAACAACAAGCACTAGCCAATCAGAGACAGCGTAGGACAGGTCAGGCATTTGCCAACCATAAATATATAAAAAAGAAGCTTACTGAACAATGCTCATCAGAAGGGATTAAGAAGTGGGTATACACGTTGTACCTGTGTATACCCTGCACTTCACCACCTCATTTCAGTCTGTTTCATTACCAGGTAAAGTCTCCTCATAGGAGCTTTAAGGATTTAAGGTCCCAGCACTCACAGTCATTAATGCTGCAGTGTGTGAGTGTCTGCATCACAGCGAATGAGTCATAAAATCAAAGTGCCGCATCAATATCTGTACCAAGAAACGCATCCGGGCCACTTTATAGTTTCATAAGTTTCTGTGAATGAAACAAAGTGTCACACATTGAGGAGGGAGACGGCCATTTATTACCAGCAAGTGACGCATCCTTCTCTACAAATACAAGAGAGATGACTCACTCTGTTCCATTTAATACATTATATACTGTAATCCTACAAAATAATTAAGCTGTAAATTGCCACTGACTGTGAATAGTCCTGTGTAATATATACTGTATGTAGTCATGTGAAATGATTAGCTTAAATACTGGTGTACAAGTCTGAGTGGGTGTGAAGTCTGCACATTGAGCACAACCAAAATCTATAATCAAGACAAACAAATAAAAAAAAAGCCTTCTGGGATCCATGTGAGCACTAGTACATTACTCTTACAGGCAGCTGATGACTCAGTGTGTTCACTGATATATCACCAGAACACACGAGTGTCATTCAAACTGGATGTGCTGCCAGATTATGTGTTAAGTATTTTCCTTATCAAAGGAAATATGGAGCTTTTCAAAGTATGAATTAACTCCATTCCAGCAGGCAAAACCTAAATATAACAGAAGAGTGTTTCCTTTTAGTTTCAGGTCTTATAGATTAGAAAATATAAGTTATATTAGTTTATAAATTAACCATTTTCAACTCCTTATTTGCTCAATTACTTATTATACTGTATATTATCACAAGACTGCACTGGTTTTGTGGAAAAAAGAAGGAGGTAATTGTTTGTGACTTTAAAAGAAAAATCAACCCTCAGGAGGCTTTTTTGACACCCCGAGTAAAAATCTCCTTCAGTCACTGGAACAAAGATGCCTGTTTCCAAACCAGAGTTGGATGAAAAGTTTGATAACACTCTAAATTAGGTATGCGATCAGCTTGGCACAAACACTTGAAAAAGGAGAAACAGACAGTCTGGCTCAATGGAAAAAAAATAAAAAAATGTCATCTCTAAAACTCACCACTTCATGTAAAAAGAAGTGGATTCATGAATCTTAAAAACAATCTCTCAGGAGCTCTAAAGGCTGTAAAACACCATGGCCAATATGTCAGGCTATTTGAAAATAAGATATAGTAAATAAGATAATGAAAAACATTTTAACAACATGGACGTAGTCTAAGTGATGTCAATCATTGTTTTTTCAAGAGGCGTTATGAAGCGAAACGACTGCGTCTGCCATATTGGACATTCTGTCACAACCTAACTTTCCACCATCTATGAATAGACAAAGGTGGAGTTAAAGTGTTCCTTGGCTAACAAACAGCTACATCACATCCACCTGACCCTGATATAAGGGTAAGCCAAAGCTATGTTTTTTTAAATCATCAAAACAGATTAGTTATTAAAAAAAAAAAAAAAATCACATTCAAGGAGTTTTCACCAAGGTTGCCCCTTGATGTGAATACAACAAGTTAACAATATAATCATCAATGCCCTGAAACTTTCAAAGATTTTCCTGGGTTTCATTTATAACAAAGCTCTGTGGAGTTTATTACCACTTATAACTCCAAGTATGCGTCGTGATCACTGTCGGAGCCAACATAAAATAAATCAAAAACATGAATACAATTAATATACATATATAAAATAAATAAATACATAAATATATAATAAATAAATAAATAAAGACATGTCCTCACAATGATCAGCACAAACACAAACAATAATAACTTTGAGAGTTGGTGCGAGCACTGCACTGCTGCTGGCTATGGCTGCGGTTCATGCTACGCTAACATTTATTTAGCTTCATCTACCCTGCTGTGTGTCGTTGCTACACCTTCACTAAGTCTTTTTATGTCAGACCTTCTAATATTCAAGTATAGCAGTAGTGTCCTAAACAGTGGTAGATTATAGTAACGAAAAAAGAAGTGCGTTTATAAGACATTGAAGACGTACACATGAAGAAATAAATGATTTAAAACATATAATGAACAAAAACAATAACATGGAACAGCATTGTGTATGCAACACAGGACATTCGATAGACTACAAAATACATTTTAAGTTGGTGAATGAATGATCATAAACTATATTGTTTAACAAAATTGTAGTTTTTTATCACGCTCCCTTCATGTCAAAAAGTATTTAAAATGTCTGATAAGGCAGACAGGAAATAGAGGAAGTCACTCCTTTATACTTTAATGCTCACTATGAGCCTGTCTCGTGGTTGCCCTATTTTGTGGGTGTTTGTGTGTGTTTCACTTCTTTTTTTGACAAAACCCTTCCCGAGAAAGAATACTGTAGAGGCTGAATACATTTACTAACATGATGCTGGAATGTCATCTTACTCTGAATAAGTCAATCATTGACCCACTACTGTACCATGGCTCAGGAAATACATGCTCACACTATACTGTAACACACTGTAACAGTTTCCAAGCCTAACACAGGTGAAACAGATAACGGTTTAACATGAGTCTGGCTCACTTCTCTAAATGTTTCCAAGGTCTCATGATTAATGGATTCATGTTGGGCCTTTGCTAATAATATAACAAAGAGAAGACCTGCTCTGTTTAGAGATAGCATTTGTTATGAATTGGCATTATAGAAAAAAGAAATGTCTGATTGGTTGAAATTAGGACGGATCATTGAAAATTATTTTGATAACGCCCACAAATGGAAAAGTCAGATCTACGTTAATTACAGTTATTAAATATGCATGGCTCAAATACAATCATCGTCCTAAATGCTCTCCCTGAACTATCTGGTCAACACTGTAGCTAATTTTTTCAGTGCAGAAGTTGGCAAACAGTTACATCACACCTGCCTGTCAGCTTTAAGATCATCAAAACCAATAGGTGTGTGTGTGTGACTTTCAGTGTTTGTGCAATTCCCCCAAGTGGACACTCAAGAAACTGCAGGTGTTTGCACATCCGTATCAGCTTCATTTTTCAAGAGGTTTCTGGTTGGGGAAGATATATCCAACAGCCATGTCTGCTGTTGCCATGGTGCTTTTAGAAGCTGTCTGACAGTTTGCAGCAGGCCCAATCTGAAAAAAAAAGTCAGGGAATGTTCTTATGACTCTGCTCTCACTGTGCGAGTGTGTGCAGTTATATGACCAAAAAAATGTGCAAGAAATTCATCCAACCAGTCGGAAGCAGGCAGTGATGAAAGGCAAGAAAATAATTTTAAACATAAAAATGACATTTTTGGGTCTTGTTATACCGTTACAAAAAGTGTGTCTCCTTGCACACTGCACGAGTAAAAAAAATTACAAATGAGTTGTGCAACTTAAGAAACGAGTCAGAATGTGCCTAAAAGTGCACAGTATATGGCCAGCAGGGGGCGAATTAACTAGTTGAAAAAACAAGTCTCTATGCAAGTCTTTCTCAGCTTATGTGTAACCTCATTTTCTTATGAATTTATGTTTTCAATCACTACTTTACTGTCTTCTGAAGTATAGTGATATTTCATTTGGTCAGCTATGATCTCATTGAGAGTTAAACATAAAATAAAGCAGCGGATGCTTCAGGGAATGGCTTCCTTGTGATGGACAAAATGCCACCACTACACAAAAAATGTATTCTTCAGCTTACTGTAAGACTGAAAGACACTTTAAGATGTCAGCTTTTCATTTTCTCTGTAATTAATTTTTTCAAACCTGTCCTTCGCTTGTCTAAACCAGCATACAAAATAATATCACAGTCAACATTCAACTCTAGTGCTAATCACACTAGAGTTAGCTGATAAATAGTCTGACTTTTGACATCCAGATTGTTTTCGGTTTTCTGAAGGTAATAATAGGAAGATTACCAATTAGGCATCCTGTACCTTCTACATCTTTTTGTAGAATTTGTAAATAGAGATTCAACCGTGCCGGGCCTTTCCTCCTGACCAGTCGTAAAACTAGGCTCAAAAAGCAGCAATAAAGAAGGGGCCAGATACAGTCTATGAACAATACTCAAAGTAACTATGCTGTGTGGAACCTCTGGCTAACGTTATGAACCCAGACGGTACATTCTTTGGTTTTCAGACATATCTGAAAGTTCATAAATGTGCAGGTTGTGATTGGTTAACATAAATAATTATAAAGGATCTCATGGTCAAGCTATGTGACTTAAAGGAGGGAAAAAATCACTTTGTTTTTGGTCTGAAAAAAGACAGAAATGCTTGATCTCCTGCTTAGAATATATAAACAGCTCTCCCTCCTGTTTAGATGGTGACATTAACTCACCTTTTGTTGAAGATGACACAAGTTTTATGTGGGAACTTTAACAACTGCAATTCAAGTGAACGTCTTTGTGAGGCAAACGTACTTACTATAACTACGAAAACAACATCTTTAAAGGTTCTTGATGTGAGGCCGGAGGAGGTGTAAATGCATTTGTACATTTAAAAGAAAAAAAAAACACTTAATAAACACAAGTAGTAATTTAAAGCTGAGTATTTGTGATAGTCTTCAGGCGGGACCTTTGCGTTTTCTATGAGAAATTTCACTCCTAGGGTCTGATTTACACTGATTGTGAAGCTCTTTGCACTCACTAAGCCCTTGCAAATTATACAAGAAAAATGACAGTAATTCACAAAAAACCCACACAAAGGGGTAAATGCACACTGAACTGGGCTGCAGAGCAAAACAGCATCTCTGTGTGTCTGTGGGGTTTGCACACATTTAATGAACCATTATGCAATCATTTGATGAAAAATTGCCCCTTTCTATGCAAATCAGCCTTTAGTGCAAAAAGCGTCTAATTCACAAACACCGGCAATAACAGCCACACACAGAGTATAATAAATGACTGTCTGTTGAGAGATGGTGGAAACTGCGCCACAGTATTTAAAAGAGATGTCACGCTCAAACCTTCCAGTGATCATGAAAACAATTTCTTGACTTATGACTTAAAATAACTGATCTGTAAATTAAGTCCATCAAAATGACTTTGATATTTACTTTTCTTAATATAACCAGGGGTCCAATCAGTCAAGGGCTGTGTGCGGCTCCACACTTCATCCACATGTGTGAAGACGGTCTGCAGCTGTTACCATGACGAGGGTGTAAAACTGAGAGGAAGCTTTGTTTAAAACAGTGAAACTCAAATCACATTTTAAGAGTCTGGCCTCAGAATTAAGTTGAAAAAGTTTCCCCTTGACTCCTAGCTCATCATCTTTATGTGGACCGAACTGAACTCCGTCAGAGCATGAGAGTGCAGCTCTGAGCAGAGTAAAGGTGCAGATCTCTTGTCTCCACATTCACACACAAAACATGAGCAAACTGCTCGGAGAAGAACAACTTTTTGGGTGTGTTTGTGCCAGGATATAATTATATTAGGGCTGGGCAACGATTCAAAGTTTTAATCACGTTAATCGCATGAGTTCCTGTGATTAATCGCGATAAATCGCATTGTTGTACGCAAAATCCAATAATTAATTAAAAAGTAGTGTATAGCGCACTATTATTGTAAATGTACTTCTCAACTTAAACAATGTAATCAAAGCAAATAAATACAAAACTAAAGCTTATCGCATTTGTTGCAGTCTGGACGCAGAGTGGTGTGGGTCTCCTCTCTGACTGCAGCTGGGTCTGCTGTGCGAGGCTAGACTGACAGCCTGTGAGTGCTTTTGGAAGGGGGAGGGGCTCACGGCAGCACCTGCTGCTCGTTGAGGACAGTACCTGCAGAGCAATACGTGCTTTCACGTCAGTTTCTTACACCAAAGAAGTCTCCAATAACACCAGAAAAAGTCGCTAGATTTGTCGCTAGTAGCTGTTGACAAAAAAAGTCAAAAAAGATTTAGCGAGAAAGTCGCCAAGTTGGCAACACTGTTTCCTCTTTCCTGTGAGCGCCGCAGCAGACATGCGCAGCAGTAAGCAACATACTAGGCTCGCTCACGATGGAATTTTACAAATAAAAAGCCAATGAGCAACAGACTTTTACAATAAGAAAATAAATAATAAAAACTGCGTTAATGCAAGATAAAACAATTGTCGGCGATAATTAATCAATGAGTTGACGCGAAAATAACGCGTTAACGTGCCCAGCCCTAAATTATATATATGCTTTGTGAATTAAACATGTAATGGAGCAGATAGTGGGAGCAAAATGAATCACTACTTTTTGAGCTATTAGGGGCTGCGATCTAATCTCGATCATATCTTAGTGAAATCCCTCTTAAGTGTCCTTATTGGCTGTTGGAGAGATAGCTAATATTATGACTCTTTATGTATTTATCTAACTGATGTCTGTGTGATGTAGCTTCTTCTAACCATTGTAATAATTCCCAGAAGTTTGAAAAAAAGAAGAAAAAGAAAAAAACCTTTGAACAACAGAACTAACCAAAAAAAACAAAGTTTCATCGCCGTCTTTCATCGTTACTGTTTTTAGGAAATATTTTCCCTTCAACAAAAACTGCTCTTCCTGATATTGTGCCCACTTAGAGGTGGAGATGAGTGCAGCGGGGTAGCTTTCTGTGACGAGTGGGCAAGCCGGTGGTAAATGTTTTGTACTTAGCGACAGAGCTGCTTGGTTGATACAGCAGGGCCCTCCCCCTCGCTCCAGTTAAACTTCTAGTAGATTCGAGGTTGCTCTCTCGGCCTCTTCTCCTATCTGACAGGTCGACTCCAATGGATTCCTCTTAAATAAAGCTCAAATAAATAAAGACAAATTCTCTCCTGACTGGCTGCGTTTCCAGTCAGGCCCTCCTAGCAGCTCACTGTAGCCCTCTGTGGAGTCTTCTGATGTTTTACACATCAACTTCTTCTTTAAGCTCTTACACATCGGCCGCTGATCATTTATACTTTTTCCAGTGATTTTGTGATTTTCAGGTAACCAATCAACAACTAATCCAACAAATCGATCAATCAGTGAGTCCCTCCTCTCAGACACTTTGATTCCAGTGATTTACTTGGTCTTGGGCACCACCAGTATTTCATCTCCGTCCTGGATGCTGTAGGAGTGGAGAGCGCGCGTGTTGTATCTCATCTCCTCAGGGCCGAAGGCGCTGAACTTGTCGATGTAATAGAGCCTCATGCTGTTGGTGGAAAGCTGCACGACGGTCGTCAGTTGCTTCTTCAGCTCAGCTACTGTCTGGTCCAGACGGATGTTCAGCTGGATAAAAAGAAAATAAACAAAAGAGACATGTTTTATAACAATGAAGCCGTACTGAGACTCTTAAAAACTACTGTAGCTGTGCATGTGTGAGTGCAAATGTCCGATTCCAGAGTGAAGTCGGGGTGAGGAGGTGATGTGTACACTTGGACATTCACCATCAGCAAGTTGGCATTGTTCATGTTGAGTGGAGTTTCTCTGCTTTAAGGCCCTGACACACCAAGCAGGCGACAAAGAACTAGTGGCGATGAAGGACGCCTGTTGCGTCGCATCATGTCGCCTCACATCTTGGCCTAAAAGTGGCACTAGAACACACTGCAAAGACTACAGCCGACGTCCAACCACCACCTTGTTATGATACGAGAAGACCATTTTCACACCGTTGTCGCGCACAACTCGTATTATAGGTAGCCTACCAATGGAGAATAATGTCTGAAAAAAAAAGGTTTAAAATGGCGCTGGCATTGTCAGGCCTTGGTATTAGTGGAAGAAGAGGCAGAGGCGACAAATAAGGACCGATGGCAAACGATCTCCTTGGTGTGTCAGGGCCTTTTATGCTCTTTACTGCTCACCTCAGTTGTCTTATTTTGTGTTTTCTGTAATTGGGTTTGTGTGTTGTAGAAACATCCTTATGCATGTTTTAGTGATATTAACACAGAAATAGGAGCCAATGCATACTCCTCTACCTTGTTTTTTAAATGTTGTACCCACAAAGGCGCTTATAAATTAAATGTATTATTATTATTTATTGTCCTCTAATCTAAGCTGAACAAGGTATTTCTAGTTGTGAAATTGGGTCTGACACAGATAACTACTCAAGCCCTAACAGGACATGTATCCATATATTTCATTTTACTCTAATTCCTGTGAATGGACGAAGGATGTGTTGGTGTATGTGTAGTGATTATCGTTTAAAACATACATATCTATTTTCCTACATTAAGAAGAAGGAATGTGCCTTTAGGGCTTCCGTAGATAATCTTCCCCTGTAAGGGCATGCGTATCTAATAAATGTCCAGATAATGTCAGGACTGGTATGTCCTGAAACTGTCGAGCAAATGTCTGGAGTTCAGTTTCTAAAAGGGCTTCTTAAACCCTCACATCAGGAACAATTGAGGGCACCACACTACTACTTTACCTTAGCAGAACATTTAATTGTTTTTATTGTTAAAGGGGAATACCAGTATTTGCAAACCTAGTCTTTTTTCCTTAATGAGTAATAAGAATAAAACATTTTGGAGTATCTCAAGAAGTGTACAATTTTTTTTTAATGTATGCTCAAAGCTCCTATTCTCCAAACATTTTAAGGGTGAGCCGCTTTTGTGAACTCACTTGAGCCTCAGGTATCCTCTTGCTTTGTGCTGTCAGGTTAAATTAAGTTTTTCCTTAACTTTGCCACGTATTCCTTAACTCTGACTTCCTCACATGTCCTTTGTACTTGATAGTGAAATAGTTCTGTAATTGCATTTACTTTATTAACTACTTAACAAGTCCTTTATTTGACTTCAAGTAATGCGAATGCTGAACTGTTACAGTCCTTACATGCACTCTGTGAGTAGGTTATACATACACTGTAAGATTTTTTCTCATAGTCCACTGCACAGCTCCTACATTGCACCTTTTGTACATTTTGTGTTTTTTATATTTTATATTTTACATTTTTAAATTATATTTTATATATTGTAATATCTCCTTATACTGTATTATTTAAGTTGTTGCTAGTTCTGCTTTATTTCCTTGTTAATTGTTTAGCACCAATACACCAAGTCAAATTCCTTGTAGATGTAAATGTACTTGGCAATAAACCCTGATTCTGATTCTGATTCTTGAAGCCTGCAATAGCAATAAGTCTGAACAGGGGGCAGTGTGGGCATAACTTAACACACCTCTTGCACTTTTTCCTCACAGTGAACCTCCACCTGGGCACGGCAGCGAGGTCTGAGGTCAATCTCGGCGAGTGGTTCCAGTTTCCCGTACTTAGTCACCAGAGAGTGGTACCTAAAGGAGAAAAGAGGAGCCATGACACAAGCACATGAAACAGATGTTCATTACAGTTCAGCTGCGTTTAGACCAAGAGTAAATAGAAGTTCAGCTCACTTTAGATGTGAGACTTGACCTCAGGGTCATTTGTGTTTATAAGTGTTGATTTAACACATCCTTTAAATATCTGAGCCTCTATATACTGTGTAAACAATATCATCGCTCTCTCCAGGAACTGTCTGGATTCCTGTCACTTCAAGCTACTTGAAGCAGAACAGTGCAGAGTTTGTTGACTTGTCATTGAAGAATCTGTACCAGGACAACTACCGGCTTACAATTTCAGCCGTGAGGACCTGTACATCTGTGACTACATCCACTGAAAATCTGAATAAAAGCATTGTGTGAACATGTGCGTCGCCTCATCCCAGAAAAAAACAAACAGATCCAGGCTTTTACTTTAAAAAAGAACACCTAATGCATGCAGAGGGGGCCACATATCCAACTTCAGCACAATGCTCAGAAACTCTGTACCTCAGTACATGTGATAGTGTTCACTGACTCCAGAGTAAACCCCGCTTACATTCTCAGCCATGAGCTGCAAAATGACCAAATCAGTTCACTGTTTACCAAAATACGAGCACGTTCAATTAACGCACTTATTGAGAAATCAGGGTTGCTAACCCTAAAGTATGCCCTGCCTTATCATCTAATGACTCTCAATGACACCATAATTGACAAAATGAAGTTCATGATATGTTGAAGAAGACTTGAAACCAAGCGGCAACCTCTGGGTTTACATTTTAATATAGGTGCGTTATGTGACCTTCTTGGCAGCACGCCTCAAGTGGACACCCAAGGCACTGCAGTTTGTTGTAATTCCACATTGGCCCAGTTTCAACACCCGAGGTTGTCCCTTAGTAGAGTCAGCATTTCCAACATGGTGACGACCACCATTACTGTAGGCTTCATGTGCTCAGTACCTGTCGGGCAGCTCCTCCTCAGGGTAGTCTAAGTAGTAACGGATGAAGAATCTCTCTGCGTCTTCCCTCTCATTATCAGTCACAACACTGCCGTTTAGCAAAGATATTGCAGGGAGCCTGTGGGGGAACACATACATTATTTTTAATGCAGTGGAGCAGCAGGTCATAATGAGTCAAAAATTACCTTCCAAAGGTCAAATTTCAATCAGCTATCAGTGTTTGAAGACAATGAACAACTTTTTTTAAAAGCGACTCACTGTGCTATCATGAGGCTCCGTCGCTCTACGTTGGTGTAAGTCTGCAGTAAGGGAATGCCCTGCAGCCGAACCTCCTCCAGTCTGGGAAAGAAGTTCAGCTTCTCGATGTCATCCCATTGGCTGAGACCTGAAAACACACGCAAAGAACTAAGAGAAACTGCCCTTTTTTTTAACAGTAAATAATCCAGATTTGTCTTGAAGTGTGGAAGCGATGGAGAGAAGACATTTGAACACATCTTTAGGTATTGTTTTTGTCCCCTCCACTCCCAACAGAGCTCTAAAAATAGGATCACCACTAATACTCCTCAAAATAGAAACGTTTCCTGAGATAAAAGCTGAAGCAGGGAAGGAATCTGTCCTGAGTCTCTGCAAATAACACCAAGCTGTGAGGATACAGCGACATGTTTGCTTGTGCTAATTTTACCAAGTGTTTTCAAATCAATGCAGGCGAATGCTGATACTGTTATTGTTGTAGTACCAAAATAATCCAGTACAGCAAAAAAAAAACAATACGTTCACACCCACAAAAAAAATTACACTGTACTACATCAACACACCAGAACAACCTATTTTTTTTACATGTCTGAAATATTTGGCTAAACTGGATTTCATGCAAATGTGAGATCAAAGTTGAGTCTTATCAAGGCCATTGTGGATTTGAGATCCTTGAGCACCTTAAACATATTTACAACCCTGTATCCACAACCAACCAAGACAAGTAATAGACTCGTACTACACATACACACACACACACACACACACACACACACACACACACACACACACACACACACACACACACACACACACACACACACACACACACACACACACACACACACACACACACACTGACCTGAGTTATTCAGGTTCATGCTGCGTAGTTTGGGAAAGAGTCGTTGCAGTATGTCCTTGTTGTCCTGAATGGAGGTCAGGTGGTTGTTGGCCATGATCAGAGTTTCCAGGCTGGGGAACATGGGGCCAAACTTGCGGACTTCGGTCCAGTCCTTGAGGCTGTTGTCGGTGATGTGTAGCAGGCGCAGGGTGGGGCAAACCACGCTTGAGACACTCACACTGCTGTACTCATTAAGGCACAGAAACAACTCCTCCAACCTGCAGATTTTCAGAAAATGTCAACATTATTTCAGGGGTTTCCACAGACATAAAAAGAAGTCAGCCAGTGGGAAAAAATAAGCCAGCAAGAGGAGTAAGGGGGCATGCCCCCAAAGGAGAAAAGATTGGCGGTAAAAGCCTAAATCTGGTGGTTTCAGGCACTTTTTAATCCCACTTTTATATCAGGCTTCTCTTTGATAACCAAATTCTTAAAAGGTTTTGATTTAATGAAAAGGACAATTAGGCCTCTATCGTGTCAAATAAAAGTGCTCTTGGGAAAATTTAAGGTGGGCAACCTAGGCTGTATGGTGGCCCAGAGGAGTACTGGACTAGAGTTTCACAACAGGGGGCTTCAGTAGCCTAGCAGTTATGTCCCACGTCCCATGCATAGAGGCTATGGTGCTTTTTTCAGCTGCCGTAGGTTGGAATCCAACCTCGGTCCTTTGCTGTATGTCACCCCCTCCTGACTCTTCAGCTGTCCTCTCTAATAAAGGCAAAAACAGTTTCACAACAGCATAGGGTTCATTTAAACCTAGTTAGGTACAAGTAATAAGAGGGGGGGCTGAGGGTCACCCAACACTCAATTCCCTGGATTGGGTTGAGGATTAGTACAACAATTTGTTGTGGTAATTAAAATATGTAAAAGGAAAAGAGAAAATAAATGCTTCTTCCTGTAAGAGACTCACGTTGTTGAAAGATTTCATCAATCATTTTTGACATGTTCGTTATAAAACGGAATAGTTTAATGTAAAACACAAAACTCATGAGAGATTTCTGTTTACTGCTTTTTTTCTTTAAATAACAAACACACTTTGGGGCGCGCGGGTAGCGCAATGGTTAGGGCGCGCGTCCCATGTATTGAGGCCCCTTTCCGCATGTCATTCCCCGCTCTCTCTCCCTGGTTTCCGACTCTATCCACTGTCCTCTCTCTGCATTAAAGGCACGAAAAGCCCAAAAATAAATCTTTAAAAAAAATAAAAAATAAATAACAAACACACTTTGCTGTGATTTTTTACAATGCAGTGTACTTTTTTGTACTTTTTAAATCACATCGAGCAAACGACCCCATTGGAAGCGATGATTAGCTTAGCTTCCATGCCTTCACTTGGGCTAGTCTCTTTTTAAAGAGGCCAGTACCTCATTCACAACAGTATAAAAAATACAAAACTATCCCTTTAACACATGAATTAAAATGAAGACACAAACCTTACAGAGCAGCCAAACACAGAATCTTCCAGAAGAGATCTAACCCCAATAAAGAAATGTATTTGACATTTATGATGTAAAGAAACATTTTGACTTTCTTTTAAGCTAACACACTTTTGATAAATGCATGTTTTAGTAAACTCCCCAGACAGTTTAAATAACCTTCAGAAAATCTGACTGAAGCAGTCTGTGAGATGGAAATGAGGACGACCATCTCTGCAATTATTTTGCTCATATTAGTGAAACACTGCAGTCTGATCACAGCTGAGCGCTCCTGTGTCCACACACACTGAGGGGGCGGAGTTATCACATACAGACAGGCATCTTTCTTATGATCATCATGATTTTAGTGAGAGCAAGAGCTTTTAAAATGTTCGGGAAAGTGAGGTGCAACTTATAAATCGGGCAGTTTTTTTTTTAGAATCAACAACATAACAGGAAGTCGACTAAACTTAAGTGCCTATTTAGCTGTTTATGAAAAGCCCTAATAATTAGTGATAATAAGTGTCTATCATTTTGATTAAATTCTTTACATGGGTAACAACCACTGGGGCTGGTGTTTTACAAGTCTCACAGGATAGGATTAAAACAAAGCTCCCCTAAGAGGCCCAATAACAACATCAGCAGCCTGTAGATACTTCTCTTACTCGGGTATCTCCCTGGCGAGCAGCAGCACAGTGTCCCAGGACACCTGAGTGTTGTTGAGGACGAGGCGTCGGACCCGAGAAAAGGCTTCGGCACACCGCGGCTCAAGGGCCATTCCCGCCAGGGGGTTGGAGCTCAGGTTCAGAAAATCCAGGTTGGGGATGTTGGAGACAATTTTACCGATCTGAAAACGAGAAACTCATATTTAAATGTTGTGCTGTTGTACTTTCATAAACCTGTGTCCATATTTTAGCTTACAACTTATAACACACTCACATTCTTTTACACAACAGCTAACCGTTACAGTCAACCACTTTCCAGCTAAGTTAGCATTTAATGGCTGTTAAAGGAGAACTTCTTCTGCACTACTGAGGTGTCCAAAGTGACCTGGCTGACACACTTTGCTGGAGTTTGCCCTCGTCAATAACAAATACTAAACAACCAGAGCAGGGGGGGAGGTACCATGAAGATAGATGAGAGCCCTGTTGAGTCTAAAGTCAGAGTTTATGTGTCCCGAAGCTGGCTCTCTTTTAACCTGGCCAGATCACTATAGTAACTGACTCTACGTTCAGGCTTTTGGCTTTGAATCGGCTGTGAAGTGTCGTCATTTCTATTATTCTTTAGCTGGGAATAGGGGGCCTGATAGCCCAGCAGATATGTCGAGTGTCCCCAGTAGTTCAGGCTTTGTAGAGCCAGGATACTCATAGAAAGACTGGGTAAGTTTGACTAGCTTCATAGTACACCCCTCAGATTGCAGTTACAGTTAAAGGGGGTTCCTTTACCAGTATTTCATCAAATGCATCTCTATGGCAACTGAATGGATTTTAAATTAACTGTTTTTGGACAAATAATGGCGCAGAAGATTGAGATAACTTTAGTCAAGTTTTGAATGCCAAAAATAGCTTTCAGTCAGACACGTTCATTGTTAGTTTGACAACAAATCAAATATGAACTATAGTAAGCCTTCATTTTTTTAATGAGAGTGAAATTGTGGATCAAAAATAACAGGCCGCACCTCATGCCAGTCCTGCAGTTTGTTGTGCGACAGGTCTAGCTCGATGACGTGGGCACAGAAGGCGACGATTTCTGCCCGCTCCCCGGCCCTGCTGATCCCACAGCTGTTCAACACCAGCACACTGGGCAGGTTCAGGCGGTCTGCAGGTCACAGGAAAGAGAAGGGTTTAGAGGGAACACTGAAATAAAGAGGGGGTGTTTGAAATTGGTTTACAGTTCCTTAATCTCTAGAATCCATTTTTTTAAACGGAGTGGATGTGCCGCTGATTGTTTACTTATAGCATCTACACCTGCAACACACATGGTGAAGTGTTGTGTGAATCACAGGCAGCTCAAAATGATACGCTTTTGTTTAATCAGGAGTTACAATCACAGAGATGCTCATGTAGACTAAACGTTACTTTGAACATCGTTAGGAATGGTTTAGGACCCTTAAGTAACACAATAACCTCTTCTCCCTCTCCACCTTTCCTCCTCCTCCTACTGTATTCCATGTGAGTTTTGTAGCTGCTGTCAGAGGCCTGGACTCAGTGTGTGATCAAAGTAGGAGGGGTGTGAATTCAGAAAATGACTAAATGTCACAGATCATTAAAAGTATGATTTTTTTGATTGGATTGTCATTTTTGTCCTCCAGCTCACCTTTCATGGGGGATCCTTGAGGACCTGCGGTGGGCACCACCACTACGCCCATACCGGGCCCCCTGCGGCACGGGAAGTTCTCCGGGCTGTACTTTTCACTCATCACCTCCACAAAGGTGCGGCCCTCCATGTCCTCCGGTGGCTCCATGGCTCCGTCCCGCTGGGCTGACCCTGCCTCAGCTTGTCCACAATGAGGGGAAGAGGCAGACATCCACAGTAATAAGCTGTTCGCTCATACTGCACGCAGGGCCCTGTTTTAACCTCCCCGTCAATATTAGTGGCGTTATACATAGTCAAACCTCTGATTGGTCAGATTCTGCTTATCGTCGATTGATCATCTTGTTTTTTTTTGTTTTTTTTTGCGCTCATTGAATTTGCTCTACGGTAGGACTTGATCCATCCTATTTCTCACTGGTTCCCATCAGTGTTTGTGCAGATTTAACCACCACAGCAGCCTCAATCTACCCAACTCAGACCAGTGTCAAAGAACCACCAACTTTTTACCATTTGAAGATGTACTGTACTCTCCTGATCATAACAGTCCAACAAAAACAGTCCTGCTGCATCACTAAGGGCCCCCACGACCCAAATCCAGTGACAGATCTAGAACCACATTACATCCATTTCTGTAATAATTCATTTTATTGTAGGATTTTTTTTCCACTGTGATACTTAAAAATGACGGCCGTACTCTGACCTTTTGATTGACACTTCATTTGGTGAATTACAACCTTTCATTCACTGTTCCCTATAAGAGCCAATAAGAGCCTGAGTTGAAAGGAGGTGCCTGCCTCCGTCCTGATATATCTATACCTCTGCCAATTTCACATGACAGTGCCAATGAGTGACATTTCTTGTTGTCAATGAAATTCTGAACACGTGGATATGCTGCTCCAATCAATAACTCAGGATGATTTCTTCTTGCACACACTAAGGAGATTGAATAAAAAAAATATTTGTTATTTTCACAAGTTGATTTTTTATACCAAGATAGGCCATGAGTCATGATTTATTTTGAGGAAACAGACAAATGAACAAGGTCTGACTCAAACCCACGATGGCCTCAATGATTGAAGCCTTTGCACACGGTGTCCATTCAGACAAAATGTATGTCCCAGACGAGAAGATTGGGTGAATAAGAAAATAGTTCCAAGTTCCATCTTTAACTGAATTTGTTATAAAATCTTCTTATGGGAAAAAATCTGCAAAGAGATAAGTTGCACCTTTTTTGTCTACAAAAAGCAAAAACAGATACAAACTGAAAGTTTCTAATAGGAGATTTAAAGCCCCAGTGGAGGGGGGGCAGTTTTGTAATGTGTCGATTTGCTGGGTCTTTGTAATATAACAATGAGTAAGGTCTTTTTACCTGCTCTTTTGTAATGTTAACAGACAAAGAGTAAGGTATTTTACCTGCTTTTCGTAAAGTGTCTTGAGAGAACACTTGTTATGAGTTGACGCTATACAAATAAAAATTGATTGATTGATTGATTGATTTTGGCTCCCCCTGTAGACAGGGGTAGGTATTATCTATTTTCTGATGTTGTCCTGTACAAACTCAGGGGGTGTTTGATGAAATATATTTTCAAGCTACCTTTTTACAGTCACATGTATCGATTATTTTAAATATATTAGCTGTGGAAAATGTGAAACAAAAGCTGTTTCTTTATCTTGCTGTAGATTGTCTCATCTGACCTCTCCCCCCTTGGCAGAAGATACAGGCATTAAACATTACTGGCAGTTTCCACAGGATCCGTGAGCGCCGCGCACTCCGGAGCATAGCGTTCCCTCTCTAGTCAATGCTCGAGTTTCCACTGCAGGCGTCGTGTGGTACATCTCGGGCGCATGTCAGTAGACTCTGTTTGGACCTCATGTTGCAGATATTAAGCTTGTTTTCCAAATGAGAACATAGTTAAAAATGTTCAAAAAGTGGTGTCCTTTTTTGGTAGAATTAGAGTCCACTTTATGTCTGTCCTCATGTCACCATGCAGCCGTGATAATTTATTCCCCATTAGAGCATATTTGATCAATTATTCCACTTTTCACTTGCCTAGTTTTTATATATTCAACTTCCATAGCGAGACACATGACTGGTCTGCTCTGATAAACGACTGAATACCTCTTTAACAGCAGTACGTATGATAGTGGGAGCAAGGAGGGACACAAGGAGGTGTTCTCTGCTCTTATCAGCAAACCACAGACACTGTCCCATTTAAATCTTCACTGAATGTACACACACACAAAGTCTGATCTCCATGCTGAAATTATGAAAACAAAACACAGAGTGAAGAATGCCCCTTTGACCCCGACCTATCACTCACTGTAAACATCTATAATTAAAATGACGAGCATACGTGTGCTTTTTTTAAACGCTCTGTGGGCAGAGCTGCTGTCGAATCTGCTGCAGGAAAGCATTAATTATGTAGGGATTTTTACTAAAATAAAAATAAAAAGATCCCGTTACAATGTCTTCTTTGGTGAGGCGGGGCTGCAGTACTTTGTGGTAATGTATCAAGAGCAATTTGTTACTCTTAAGTAATCTAGAATAGCTAATTATTTGTTGTGATGCCACTGTTATTTTTCACAACTCAACGTTATATAGAGGGCAAAAAGCAGCAGAGTATTAGGAGAAAAAGGTGGGTTTTTTTACCTGCCATGAGGATGAGGAACATGGCAGGACATTTCATTTATATATATTTTTTAAGTTACTGTAAAAGTGGTTTTCTCAGTATTTATAATTTGACAGGCTGCCTACAGCACTGCTTTTCTATTGGTCACTTGTGTTTTGAGTAAGGGGCAGACACAATAAGATTTTCTCCCCCCAGTTTCTTCCTTCCCTAATATCTACAGTCCATGGTTCCCTCCCAAACATGGAATGTGAAAAAACTGTGAATAGTTTTCTTTTATTATAATAAACTGTGAACATTTCCACGAGCGGAACAAAGAAAAATAAATGAAAACACATGGCGGAAAGCTGCTTACCTGAAGAGACGCTTCCCGTGATTCGACTACTGTCACTGGTCCCTGTCGTTGACTCTGTTAGTACTGTTGGCCTGTCAAAGAAATCAGAAGCAGTTTGATTCATTTTGCATCCGCACACAGATGTATTTGTGTATTCATTGTGTGCAGATGAAAGAAAATGTCATTTTTATAGAAAGAAATCTGTCCATAATAAAGATAAAAGTCGAGGCCTATTGCATCGTTAGTGGTGTCTTACTCCAGAGTGGCTGCTCGGGCTGACAGATGTCTCCAGAAGAAATGCTGGCCCCTCTTTGATCAGACGTCAGGATGTGATCTGGACAGTCCAGAGAAAGGGAGGAGGACTTGGGGAGGGGGGGGGGGGGGGGCTGTCACCACATGACACTGAAGTGCAAACAAGGTCAAAGATCACTGCCTGCCTTGTTATTTATTTACCAGTATCAATAAAATCTGAACAACATCACATTCAGATTTATAGAGAGGTGCTCTGGGTCACGGAATAAAACACAAATCTCAATCTGCATCACATTATACTCAATGATGAAACTTTGTTCAGCAAAAAAATAAAAGTAATAATAATTATAAAATTTATTTATATAGCACTTTTCAACACAGGGTAAAACGTGAGTCTGTTGAACTGAAATTCTGTGAGAACTCTGACTATTTGCTTTTCATGTAATCTAACATCTTACTCTGTAGTATTTATGATAGTAATACATTTACCCAGACGATATTTCCAATGTGGCATTCACGGCAAGGACAAAACGACAATAAATGTAAATACATTTTAATAGTTATAGTGTGTATTCCTTCAGAGAGGAAAGTCTGTTTGGTGAAAATGATCAAAACAACAGAAAACAAACCGAATTTAAAAAAATAGTTTTCTATCATAATTTGTATAATTTGTAATGATAAATAATTATTTGTCGAGTTATTTTAAAAGGCAGGGTTTTAAGCAATTTTGTAAATTAGTCTTTTCTTTTTTAAGAAACAAATAATAACTTTTATATGTGGTTTACTTGGTAGAGTAAGGAACATCAATTTGGGGAAAGTGCGCCTATTAGACCAATTATTAAACTTGATTTCTTATCGCAATCGTTTATCATCATCAAATGCACGCCGACATGATATAAAACTCTAAGTGACTCTCAAAAGACCTTAAATTATGTTGTCACTTCATCCATCGGTCGATACGTCACAGGCACCTCTAAAGTGACGGATTGTCAAACGGTATTTTGCTGCTCCTGCTTATTGGACCGTGTGTTGCCAAACGCCTTTAAAATATAGTCGTTTTAGACTTTAGCGCTTATCAGAGGATGTACACATCGAGAAGTAAAAAAAACCGTGACGTCCTGCGATTCAACAAGGAGATATTGTTAATACGGCAGATTCCTTTATGAAAAATCAATGGTCATTAAAAGATAACTGAGACTTTTACATGTTAATTCCTAGCAAAAGCTCCCCATCAAGTCACGTCATATTGGGGAAAACTGGTGAATCCCACAAGGCAAACGGATTGTAAAAGTTGATATTTCATTGTTTTTAATTAAACTTATTCTAGGAAATGTATACCGAACTACTAATTTAATATAAGGGAATACATTACAGGTCTGACATTGATACTGCTACACTAAAAATAGGCCGATAAGGAAAACACAAGAAAGAATATAGGTTCTTCTAAACGGAGTCTGGCTAATTCATTTTTTTTTTACTGAAAAGCATCAAGCTTATCCTGCACACACAGAAAAATTTAATGATTTTCCCATTATATTTCAGGCTTAAGGAATTTACACTTAAGTTGTGAATAAAAATTGCAAACTGAAGGTTGTTGACAGCCCAGCAGCAGACAGTGTCCGGTCCAGACTCGCAGTCTGACCCCCGGCTGCAGCTCGATGGAGCCAGGATGGATTACAGATGGCAGCGGTAAAAATGTACTTTCAATGAACACAAGCTAAAGCCAGTATACTCCAAGACCGTGTTAAAAACAGAGTATATAAAAAGCCGTGGTTCTACATACCTTTAATGTCTACTTTGTATTTTCCTTGTTGATGACAACAAACCAGCTGTCATTTTGCTCTCCAATATATCCCGGAAGTGACGTAATGTGTCAGCCGAAAATGATTTTCTTTTTCTTTTACATTTTCAACTTAATTTCACAACATGTTTGCGTGGTGTTTGTGTGTCTGTTGGTGCAGATTTTATGAAGATGCCGAATGTTTCTTGAAATAAAAAATAAAAAACAGAGGTACCCACTGACAAAATGATGATGTCATTGTGTTTCTGCTGATAATGATATTTATCCCTCTCCAAGGGGAACATTTATTCAGACTCCCATTTGAAAGATATAGACTAGGAAACTGTTGGCTTTTACCTCATAAATACTGAATGGCTAACAGAGTCAAAGAAAATCACTTCTTCACATCTTCATGAAATATCCTGTCGATTCTTTAAGCAGGGTGGCCTTATGGATGTGGAGCAGACTTGTGCTTTTTGTTAACAAGCTGATAAAACACTAAACCATTTCTTAATTTTTTAATGTAACTTGGTTTGTTTACTTTATCTGGTGATTTTTCTGATACCTATTCATGGTATTGTTAACTGGTATGTTATATTGTAAATCAATAAAGTTGATTTAAAAAAGTATATTTATCTCATCCTGCTTCATATATCTGTAGCAGGCCTTATAGGCCTTCCTGTAGTTTGCAGATATTTCCTATTTATTAGGTTGAAAGACTCTTTTTAATTTCAGACATTTTATCCAGGACAGCTTAACTGGCAAATACAGAAATCTCTGTGAATGTGTCCTACACCTGCACCTGAAAAAACAAAAACCAAGAATAAATTACTAACTAATAGAACCATACAGATATCTGTTTTTTTTTTAATCGAGGTGGTAACATTTAGGACCCTGGTAATGTGAGCTGCCTTTCTGAAATGGTTAGGTTTAAGTTTTAATTTATAATAAAACTCATGACAGCTGTGAGTTTTCTGCTTTGACCTGTCAAACTCTCTTCTTTAGGTCTCAGCTGAATCGCCTCATGTTTAACTTAAAATATAAATAACTACCAAGTCATTTTGGCGCTTTATAGTTTAAGACTATACCAGCTTCATTTAATACATAGGACATATACCTTCTGAAAATACTACTTGAAGTGAACAAAACAGCAGGAGGTGACTATGGTGGAAAGACAAGGAAGGACTAGCAAAAGGGGAATGGATAGTAATGGCAATGTATCGCATTGAGAAGTTGACCTTTTCTTAAAGACGTTATGCTAAATTCTGGAGGTATTGGATGGAAGGTTAAAGAATATGAGCAATGAAATAACATAGAAAGGAAATACTGCATAATTACCTTTTCTCACTTCTCCTGTTTATTCTCTTGTTGTCTGTGATTTATTCAAGCAGTTTACATTGGTTTGTATGTTAAGGTACAATCCTTCTAAAATCTCCCTGAAGAGGAGACGGACTGAGACTGACATGACCCTGAGGTAAACAAATATCATGTCAGGGTTTTATACCCTGCCTCTCCTCCTCCTCTGGACAAGTGGAATAGTCACCACAAATAACACACGAGCTGTACTTGACCATCATCCATGACTTGTCTATTCAGATGATACAATGTCTGTCATAAAATATGCAATATTAAAAATAATGTTGAAAAAGTAAAAACACCATGAAATAAAATGTTGGACTCAACATTCTCAAAAGACAAGAAATTAAAACCATAAATGAGTTGGGTTTTTTAACTTTCTGTCTAAATAAAGAAGAACAAAGAAAGAGAGCAGAAATTAGTTTAGTAACTCTAAATTGAGACTTTAAACATTTGAACAAAAACATGAAGTCCAGCCACTCTCAGCAACGACTCCATCACGCTGTGTAATGGTGCCACCTAGTGGTTGGTTAAGACTATAACGTGGATTTATTCAGCATTTCACATCTCTAAATATTAATTTTTTTGCTATAACCATGACAAAAACAGCAGAATAAGCTACTCCGTGAACATGTTGTCTTTATTCTTTTTACTTACTATAGTCTTCATATATAATAATATCATATGTAGAATAATTATATAATATATAATAATAATGTATAAAGTTGAGCTGAGTTGAGTAAATAGGTCTCGGATTAACCACCATAACCAGGACCAATCAGAATGATCTAAGTTGGTAAGAATGAAGATGTCACTGCTAAATAAAAAGCTACATTTTATTGTGTATTTGTTTTCAAGGTTTCAAATCAAACACGGTTTTATAAAAATATATATATTTTACGAAAATGAAAAAAGGTTTGGATACGTTCAGACAAAATTGGTTTAAAATTTGTTAAACTCATTTACGAAAAGTGTCGATGCACTCAGGTCTTTGCTAGAATTTGACAGATATATCCACCCTTATTTACAGTATTTATATAAACATCACCCTTATTTACAGTATTGATATAAACATCACCCTTATTTACCTGTTAAATGCCTTTAAATAATATTACAGTGATATAAATCATTTTACTAAATATAACGTTTTACCATTCTTCTCATATTTGAAATATAGGTAAAAAAAATGCACCAAATTAAAATGTGTTTCTGTTAATGCATTTTAATTTTCAAATTAGCATTTTAATTTGATTTATACGAAATGAAAACGTAAATATCATTTTGTTTTTCATTTGAATTTAGTTAATGAATGTACATTTACGTATATATTGCAAATATTGCACCCATATTCTGAAAATTAAGAAGCATTTCTGTTAACGCATTTTAATTTTCCTTCTGAACTTTCAGCCCTTCTGAAAAAAACATGACTTTGGCTTCATATGTACGGTAAATTATTGAATAAAAAGCTTCCCAGAATTGATTAGTGGGCGTGTGTGATGTCGGGGAGAGGTGTATTGATTTTTGGCAGAGTTTATTTAACACAGGCCGTCTCTGGGGCTCATCACAGTCAGCCATGGGTCGTCCTGAGGTTCAGATGTTAACATGGACACTGTTTGTCTACCTGAGTTGGATGTGTGTGGATCAAGCAGTGGCAGGGCCGTAAGTTCACTTTCATTGTTTATAAAATGGATCAAATTCACACTTTTGTTTGATTGTTAGCTCAATGTTAAATATTTCGATGCTCAATTTTATGTGTGTAGGCAGTTCATGGTCACCATTCCTGCAGTCATTGAAGCAGGAGCTGAAACGCCGTTCTGTGCGAGCCTCTTGAAGCCCAACGAGACTCTGGTCATGACCGTCACTCTGAGGTCCCTGCAGCAGAATGTGACTCTCATGGAGGAAACATCCAGTCAGGAGTTTCACACCTGCATTAAGTTCATGGTCAGCTTTTGAGATT